TTTTTTATTATTATAGCATGTGTCAAATTCAAGGCCCGTGGGCAAAATCCGGCCCACCATAACCATTTCTGTGGCTCTCTAAACAGAGGGCCACAGAAACAGAACTTCAAAATAATTGTTGTGAGCTTCAATACTATTTTATCAGTCAAATCAAATCAGTTTTTATGTTTGTATTGCCAATTACTCAATAAAATATTGAAATTTTAGAAGCAGTCATCAAATGCAGATAAAGTTCTATTTTACTAGTTTGTTTTTAGGTCATTTTATGTGGAAACCAGCCACTAGGGAGAAACCAGTTACTAGGGAGCACAAGCCAGTGCGTCTCTTGTGCCGGTCCCAAGCCCGGGTAAATGGTGAGGGTTGTGTCAAGAACGCATCCGATGTAAAACACTTTTGCCAAAACCATAATGCGAGTTCATTAAAGTGAAACCATACCGGATCGGTCGAGGCCCGAGTTAACAATGACCACCACCGGTGCTGTTGACAAACAGGGTGCCGGCGGAAATTGTGCTACTGTTAGTTGAAGACCACGAGGAGGGAAATGTGTCAGGAGACAGAGGGAGAAGAGGAAAGTGAAGAATGTAGGACTGAGGGTTGCAACTCTAAATGTGGGGACAATGACAGGCAAAGGTAGAGAGCTGGCTGACATGATGCTGAGAAGGAAGGTAGATGTTTTATGTGTCCAAAAGACCAAGTGGAAGGGCAGCAATGCTCACAGCATTGGAGCAGGGTTCAAACTGTTTTACCATGGTGTGGATAGAAAGAGAAATGGAGTAGGAGTGGTCCTGAAGGAGGAGATGGCAAAGAATGTAGTAGAGGTGAAAAGAGTGTCAGATAGGGTGATGTGTTTGGAGGTAGAAGTAGAAGGTCTGATGCTAAATGTTGTCAGTGTTTAAGCTCCACAGGTTAGATGTGATGTGGAGGAGAAAGATACATTTTGTAAAGATCTGGATGAAGTGATAGAGAGTATTCCCAGGGAGGAGAGAGTGGTGATGGGAGCAGACCTGAATGGACATGTTGGTGAAGGAAACAGAGGGGATGAGGAAGTGATGGGTAGGTTTGGTGTCAAGGAAAGAAATCAGGAAGGACAGATGGTGGAGGATTTTGCCAAGAGAATGGAAATGGCTGTAGTCAACACCTATTTCCAAAAGAGGGAGGAGCATAGAGTGACCTATAAGAGTGGAGGAAGGAGTACGCAAGTCGACTACATTCTGTGTAGAAGAGGAAACCTGGGGGAGATTGGAGACTGTAAGGTTGTGGCAGGGGAGGGCGTGGCCAGACAGCATCGGATGGTTGTGTGGAGAATGACTGTTGTTGTGAAGAAGAGAAAAAGAGTAAAATCAGAAGAAGACCAAATGATGGAAGATGAAGAAGGAAGAATGTTGTGAGAAATTCAGAGAGGAGCTGTTAAAGGCTCTGGGTGGTAAGAAAGAGCTTCCAAATGACTGGACTACTACAGCAACAGTAATTAGAGAGACAGGTAGGAAGATACTTGGTGTGTCATCTGGACAGAGAATGGATGATAAGGAAACCTGGTGGTGGAATAGTGAAGTGCAGGAAGATGTTCAAAGAAAGAGATTAGCCAAGAAGAAATATGACAGTGAGAGGACTGAAGAGAGGAGACAGGAATATAAGGAGATGGGACGTAGAGCAAAGAGGGAAGTAGCTAAGACAAAGCAGAGGGCGTACAATGAGTTTTATGGGAGACAGGACACTAAAGAGGGTGAGAAGGACTTGTACCGATTGGCAAGACAGAGGGATCAGGCTGGAAAGGATGTGCAGCAGGTTTGGCTTATTAAAGATAGGAATGGCAGCATGGTGGCGCAACTGGTAGATCTGCTGCCTCTCAGCGAGCAAGTCCCTGGTTCAAATCCCGGTCCGGGGGCCTTTCTGGGTGGAGTTTGCATGTTCTCTCCATGCATGCATGGGTTTTCTCCGGGTGCTCCGGTTTCCTCCCACAGACCAAAAACATGCATGTTAGGCTGATTGGTAACTCTAAATTGTCCCTAGGTGTGAGTGAGAGAGTGAATGGTTGTTTGTCTCGTTTGTCTCTATGTGTCCCTGTGATGGACCTGCGACCCGTCCAGGGTGTACCCCGCCCCTCGCACAGTGATTGCTGGACATGGGCACCGGCGACCCCCGTGACCCAAAATGGAAGAAGTGGGTAAAATATAATCAGAATCAGTTTATTATTGCCATGTCAATGAACGAGGTTCACAACTAGGAATTTGCTTCGACATAAAGGTGCGAATAGTAATAAAGTAAAATAAAGTAAGAATGAAAACATAACATAAAACATTTGTACACCCATACAATAGAAAACAATAAAAAAGCTTAGAAACCAGTACAGATGGAGTATTCAATTATAATACAGAAGTAATGTGACCAAAGCAGAAATTATGAGGTAACATTATGAGTGTTCAGGAGTCCAACAGCAGAGGGGAAGAAACTGTTCTTATGGCGGGAGGTTCTGATCCGAATGGACTGAAGCCTCCTGCCTGAGGGGAGTGGTTCAAACAGACCGTGTGCAGGGTGAGCAGGGTCAGCTGTGATCCGACCTGCTCGCCTCACAGTCCTGGAGACGTACAGGTCGTGGAGGGATGGAAGGCTGCAGTCGATCACCTTCTCAGCTGAGCGCACAACACGCTGCAGTCTGGATGGATGAAGATAGGAATGGTAATGTTCTAACAAGTCAGGAGAGTGTGATGGGAAGATGGAAGGAGTACTTTGAGGAGCTAATGAATGAAGAGAATGAAAGAGAAAGAAGAGTAGAGGTCATAGAAACTGTGGATTAGGAAGTGGGAAAGATTAGTAAGGGTGAAGTCCGGAAAGCTCTGAAAAGAATGAAGAAGGGGAAGGCAGTAGGACCTGATGACCAGTGGAGGTTTGGAAATGTCTTGGAGAGATGGCAGTGAGGTTTTTGTCTCAAATATTCAATGGCATATATGAGGGTGAGAAAATGCCTCAGGAATGGAGAAGAAGTGTGCTGGTGGCCATTTTTAAGACCAAGGGTGATGTACAGAGTTGTAGCAACTACAGGGGAATTAAGTTGATGAGCCACATGATGAAGATCTGGGAGAGAGTTGTGGAAGCTAGACTTAGACGAGAGGTGACTATCTGTGAGCAGCAGAATGGTTTCATGCCAAGAAAGAGCATCACAGATGCATCTTTGTTTTGAGGATGCTGATGGAGAAGTACAGAGAGGGTCAGAAAGAACTCCATTGTGTCTTTGTGGATTTAGAAAAAGCATCTGACTGAGTGGCAGAAAAGTATGTTAGACTGGTACAGGACATGTATAAGGACAGCAGGACATGTAGGAGGACAGCAGGACAGTGGTGAGATGAGGTGTAGGAGTGACAGATAGCTTCAAGGTATAGGTGGGAGTGCATCAAGGATCCGCTCTGAGCCCCTTCTTGTTTGCTCTGGTGATGGACCGACTAACAGATGAGGTCAGGCAAGAATCCCCATGGACGATGATGTTTGCAGATGACATTGTGATCTGTGGTGAGAACAGGGAACAGGTGGAAGAGAACTTGGAGACGTGGAGGTATGCACTTGAAAGAAGAGGAATGAAAGTCAGTCGTAGTAAGACAGAGTCCATGTGTGAATGAGAGGGAGGAGGTGGAACAGTGAGGCTACAAGGAGAAGAGGTCACAAAGGTGTAGGACTTCAAGGACTTGGGGTCCACTGTCCAGGAAAATGGGGAGTGTGGTAAAGAGGTGAAGAAGAGAGTCCAGGCAGGATGGAGACAAGTTTCAGGAGTGATTTGTGACAAAACGGTGTCAGCAAAGGTCAAAGGAAAAGTTTACAAGACAGTGGTGAGACTAGCTACTGTATGTTGTATGGTCTGGAGACAGAGACATGGACAAAAAGACAGGAGACAGAACTGGAAGTGGCAGAAATGAAGATGCTAAGGTTCTCCTTAGGAGTGACAAGGCTGGCTGGCCTTTTGAGGACATTCATGAGCTTGATGTGGCCCAAAATGAAAAAGAGTTTGACACCCCAGTTATACACATACTGTAGGATAATGTGAACAGGGCTGTCAGAGTTGCAATGACTTTACGTTAGGTGGGTGAATGATCTGATCTTCTGACTGTTGATTGCAGTAATCCACATTATTAGCAGAAACAGAGGGCCTCAAACCAAATTTCACTTGGGTCCTCATGGAGGTTTGGGCTGGCACTGAGGCTCGGACCCAGAAATGGACGGAGCCGAGGAGTCAGAACCTTCTCAGACAGAAGTACAGATGAAAAAAACAGAATGTGAGAGAGTGAGGACTTTGTTGAAGAAGTGGAAGATTTGTTGTTTTGAGGTGAGGCTGGATGGATGGATGGATGGATGGATGGATGGATGGATGGAAGGAGTGCACCGAGTGTCATGTAGTGCCTGAGAATACTCAGCCTTCTGTAATCATTGGCTGTGTGCTCAGGTGTTTCCTTGACTGGTTTGTTTATTGAAGGTTTATTACACTACACACACCGGTGTGTGGGTGTGTGTGTTTTCAGACCCTGGTGGAGACGGTGTCCTGTGGAGGAAACCTGCTGATGAACATCGGCCCCACACACGACGGCAGAATCGTCCCGATCTTTGAGGAGCGTCTGAGGCAGATGGGTCTGTGGCTGAAGGTCAACGGAGAGGCCATCTACAACACGACGGCGTGGCGAGCTCAAAAAGACAATGCCACCACCAACCTCTGGTCAGCTTTTGTGGTCTTTAAAGCACTTCACCCCCCGAACCGCCACCGTTTACGACATACTGCAACACCAGGAGTTGGATTATTAAACTGTTTCATGTCAAACGCTGTAAAAATCAATACTTTGACACATTTCTCCAATTAATGAATCTTTATTATTGCCTTTATGAAGGCTCTGAAATGACTTGTTTTGATCCTGTGTGATGTAAACAAATTAAACCAGGCCGTTTGGTACACAGGTACACATTCAGACCTCAGGAGAAGACCATCTTTGCCATCTTACTGGAGTGGCCTGATCAGGGGTCAGTGGTTCTGAGTGAACCCGTCGTTACATCGGGAGTCACGAAGGTAAAATCTCACCCGTTATATTCAGAAGTTGGAGTGCCGGCATTTATGATTCCAATATGCTTAAAATCTTTGCATTTGTTTTTGTGCGCCCGTCGAAAGGCGGGACGGGCCCTGGTGTCTACGTCCGTGAACTTTCTCTTGTCCTGCCCACATCAGGTGGCTCAATGAGACGAACCTGTAGAAATAAAGGTTGAATGAGGAAAAAAAACAAAAAAACTTCAGATCCACTCAAGAGAATTTTTTACAAAACTTGATACACAAACACATCAGCGTCGTGTACACATTTCATCACCGTAACTTCAAGGTCAAAGGTCATACAAGGTCTTTGCTTGTTGCAGACGTTGCTATGAGATGCTGTAACAGTTTGTGTATGATGTTCTGCCTGAGAGTTCACCAGGGTTCCTACACAAACTTCAAATTTTGAATCTGCTTTTAGCATTTTCCAAGTCTGTTAAACATGAAAAAAAAGGAAACGGTTTGAAAAAAGATTTGTTTCCAAACTTAGATGATGCCATAAGTGCTGTAATTGTGCCTAAATCTGTACGATGAGTTTTTTATTCGATTTCATGGTTGGTACATTCAGTGTCAGAAAGTTCTTTAGAAACTTGATATTTTGTACCAGAATTATTAAACGACCTCTAAACTACAAACATTCATTGCCTCAGTGATCTGATGGATCTTCATGTCTTTAGAAAAATGGTCGATATATCAACAAGTAAAGTGTTAGAACTTAATGTCTTTTCCTCTCTGTCCGTGAGTTGATGGTCTGTCCGTTGTTTTTGTCCTGGTCAAGGTGGAGCTCGTGGGTCACGGCTCCCTGCAGTGGGAGCCAGCTCAGCCCAGTGGGCTAAAGGTTCTCCTGCCTCAGCTGTCCTTCAAACAGATGCCCTGTGACTGGGCCTGGACCCTGAAGCTGACAGGGGCCTCCTGAAGGAGCCGACAGAGCAGAAGGCTACAAGATCGTTGCTTTCATATTTCAATCACTAAACTTGTGCCTGACTTGAAATTTGAGAAATCGCTGGGGTATAAAGGATCGTATCATTTTCTACTGGTTGCACTCTTATTACAGATTTAGTCGTTTTTTAAATATTTTTTCAGGGAGTCAAGCACTTACCGTTTTATGTGATTGTTCGTATTTTGTAGCTGTAGCCAAAAGTAAGTGCAAAGACTTTGTTTTTTTTGTGTGTGTGAACAAGTTGCTGTGTATACAGTACTTGAAACTCCAGGCTCCGACAGGTTTGGGCTTTGACGTTAAATAAATGTTTAAATCTTTCTGTTTTATTTTTTGATTGGGTCGGTGCGTTTGTACCTAAATGATTAATAAAAATCAACCAAACCTTTGAAAAGTCGATTTCTTATCACCTGCAGCTGAAGGTGAAACGGTTTTGTTCATGTCTGTGTGTGCGTTTGCTGTTTGTGTTGCAGAACTTTTGGGGCCAACCCCATTCAAGATGGCTGCCACAGCCAGCTGATCGTAGCCATTACAACAATTGCTAGAGCTCAGTAAATTTTACAGATACACCATGATGGCTAATCATTGTGCAACTTTTGCCAAAAACCTAAGTAGGACGTGTTGGTGTTGGCCCTGTTTGTCGTGTTAGCAAAATATCTTGACAAAACCTGATGAAACTCAACCATCAATCACCCTATGCAACTGGGTCCTGGACTTCTTAAACAAACCAGACCACAGTCTGTAAGGATCCACAACTTCTCCTCCACCACCATAACCCTCAGCACTGGCTCCCCTCAGGGCTGTGTGCTGAGCCCCCTCTTGTTCACTCTGCTCACATAAGATTTTGCACCTACTCATCCAGGCTGTCACATTGTAGAGTTTGCAGACGACCCAGCGGTGGATGCATCACAAACAACGATGAGTCCAGCTACAGGTAGGAGGTGGAACACCTGGAGAGCTGGTGCAGGAAGAACAACTTTCACATCCATGTGAAGACGACGAAGGAGATGATTGTGGATTTCAGACAACCAACATACCTATCCCCCCACCACCACCACCTGAACATAAGAGGATCTGCAGTGGAAGTGGTCTCCAGCTACAAGTACTTGGGTGTACACATGAATGACAACCTCAGCTGGAGCAACAACACCACCAGCCTGATGAAGAAAGATCATCAGAGACTCTACTTCCTCAGGCGGCTGAGGCGAGCTGGTCTGGGAAGCTCAGTCCTCACCTCCTTCTGCAGGTGTGCAGTGGAGAGCATCCTGTGCTCGAGCATCAACGTGTGGCATGGAGGCTGCACAGCTGCAGAAAGAAAAGCTTTGCAGAGAGTGGTGAAGGCTGCACAGAAGATGTTGGAGTCAGCCTCCCCACCATCACAGACATCTACACCTCCAGATGCAGGAAGAGGACCACCTGCATCATGAAGGACCACACTCACCCAGCACACACTTTTTGCCCCACTCCCCTCAGGAAGGAGGTTGAGGAGCATTAAGTGTAGAACCACTAGACTGAGGAACAGCTTCTACCCTGAAGCTGTTGGACTCATGAATCTCTAACTAGGATAATCACTGTAATGCCACTTTCATTCAAACTTTCTTTAGACAGGTAAATCCCATTGAGCCTCGAGGACTCATTTACAAGAGACCTGAACCCGACTTTAATTGGTGACATGTGACTTATCTGTGCTGCTGATTATCCATGCTGCTGATCTCATGCCGCTGTATTCATACCCATCTGCTCACCACAGACTCCTGTTCGGGCAGCTGGTGTTACGCTGTATTGTTTTAAATTATTAGTGTTGAGCGTACGTCTTAGATCCTTAAATACTATTAATTTTTATATTTTTACTATATTTGGGGGGTAACTGGGACCCTGAGTACACAGTTTCATTCTACCTTATGTGCCATAAAGATACCTCAACTTGATTGGATTGGATGTATATCTACAACCCATGAACTTTCAGTCAGTAATTCAAGATGGCTGCCACAGCTGAGCAACTTTAGTTTTCACAAACATGGCTGTAACTCAGTTTGACAGATACTGAGCTAAAATTTGTTGGTAGTAGCTGAGGGTCATCCTCAACAGTCAACACACTGGTGGTAGGTAACAACTTGGAGTTCTCCATTTGTGTAATTATTTACAACATTTGACCCAAATGGCTGTAATCTTATTGTCTTATAGCTCTTAAAACTCTGGCATGAAAGGCTTTGGGTGATATGCATCATTTTAAAGAATGCTAAAACTCAAAGTTTCAGGTATTTTAGAATATTTTCCATTTTGGAGCTCCTCAGAGGTCGCTGCTCTCTGGCGCCCCCTGCGGCCCACGGCTGTAACAGCAGCCAGCTGTCTGCACAGATGACCCAACAGAACCGAACTGCAGCCCCTCTCAAGCAGCCGTCAGCACACACACAACGGTAAGTCGCCATTTCTTCCAGTCCTTTTCCATTTTTCCTCCGACAGCTCGGCGGGGAGGCGCGCGCCTTCCACCCGGGCACGGCGCGCCCTGCGGCGGCCAGCTGACTCTGGAGTCCGCTGTGCTGCATGCGCGCCTTGAAGGTGGGAGGTTCCTGTTCTGCAAATGTTCCATGACGTGCAGATGGGGGGTTTGCAAGGGGTTCTCACGTCCATGCAGTCCCCCCTCCCCCCACCTCACCCTCCAGCAGGCTTTCCCCAGCCTGCTGCTGCTGATCCCCCCAAACAAACAGCAGGCTGAGGATGCAGCGCGCGTGCACGAGGCGTCGGGCACGGCTCCTATCTGCCTCATGCAGTCTGTTAGAAACATGGCTGCAGAATCAGACAGCTGCTGGCTCCACGTTACTAAATATAGAGCTGCCCCAAATTCCAGCATCACTCCGTAAGAATAAAAAATGTCTTTCTGGACTGGTGGAGTGAAAAGAGCCCAGAAGAAATGTTGAAGCTGCTGCAGGGCCACTGTGCTCACCAGCTGTCTGTCACTCCCTGACTGCCAGGTTAATGAGAGGCGGACACAGCAGACTGAAAAGTAAGCCTCAAACCAGCAGCTGCTGCGTAAAACCAACATGTCAGATTTTATGAAACTTATTTTAAAACAGTTTTTTGCAGACTGCTGAACCTCTGCCCATCTTTACTTCACAGATTCAGCCTCTAAAAATAGTTCATGTTTTTATGTTGCATTGGGGGTAAAATATTTGTTAATGAAATTTGCAAATCATTCTTTACAACATCCTAACATTTATTTTATTATGTTTTGTTTTTTAGAATCGGGTTGAATTTGTACGAAAAATGTTTTTGTTAAAGTTAAACAAGAGTTACAAATGTTAGAAGTTATAAGGCACTATTCTAGATCAAGGCAGTTTAAATCAGGACCAATTAAAATATTGCAAAGCATGTGCACGTAGTTTGCAGAAAACAAACATGCAGTAGATCTTTTGATAAAAGAACTCTCGGTGCTAAAAGGATCTCTAATATGTTTCTGTCAGTATTGATGTATTGATGCATACGAGGAAGTTAATCGAGTCATTTTTGATCTAAACAATTCAAAGACTGAGTTTATTTGATGACAGAAAATTAAAGGCAGCTAAGGGCATTAAACGCTGGTATCTGTTGACATTCAGGAGAACGTTGACAACATTTCTGGAGAACGTTCCACCTTGGTTCCTTTAGCTGCTACATGTCGACGTTCATCATTCGAGGAGCCGTAACTTTTTCGCCTGCTTATTGTGTCCGTCCCTGTGGCAGTAATTATATGTGGAGACTAGCAATGGGAAACTGTTACAGACGCTGGTTGTCATGGAAACACACAAATCGTGTCAGATTATTTTCGGATACCTCTGCGATAAGACTGCCTTCCTGAGAGAAAGACCTGGGGGGGTCTGAATGAAGGGATGGATCAGGCGAAACGTGGAGGTTGCTCTAATTCAGTTCAGTGTGGCCTGCAGGGAGGAAGACCTCGTCCATTCATTAACATTCCCCCACTTCCCCCCACCCGCCAGCAGTTTGAACAGCAACATCCTCAGCGACCTGCTGCAGTTCGGTGCATGTGTGACGTTCGGTCTCGTGCAAATCTGTGTCAGATGTGAGGGCTGCAGGATGCAGCGCTGCAGTGCAGCTGCAGACGGTGGAGATGGCAGGCAGCGTGTGGACATCCTGGGGGACAGACCATTATATTTATAGAGACCAGAGACTTGACCTTCACTGCAGAGTATCAGCCATTTTAGACACTGAATACAGGATAATGGATCTCAGCTGCAGTGCAGTTAGTTAGCTTCAGTCTCATCTTTGGCTCGTTAGAGGCTACATCTAATTATAGCTTCCTGCAATTCCATACTGTGCCGAGCCTGTCAATCGTTGGCATTCACTGCTCTCTGCCACGCGCAGCGTTGCCGTTTCCTGAAGGAAGTGTGCTGGCAAATTACAGCTCTCTGCTGCAATGAATGGAAGCTTGCAGTTTGGGCAGGATTTAGTCCTTACGGTGTCAGTCTCAAGCTTTTTGTTTTTCTGTGTGTAAGCTTAAAGGGATAGTCGTTATTTTTGACATGTTCTGTTAATGAATTATTAGAACCTTGTTAGTCTAATGATCAGTTTAGGGCACAAAGTATGAAGGAAAAGGCTTCATGCAGGTTAGGCTAATGGTTAACCAGCTGAGAGCCTTTTTCATCAGTTTTATCCCTCGTCTTGGAGCAAAGAAGGACAACTGGAAATAGACCATCCATCTGTGCATGTTCTGAGCGTAATATGAAAAATAAGTGAGGTACCAATTTCCATTTTGATGTGTGGTTATATCTAAGAGTAAGAAAAGTCCTTTCCAAAATTTGGGGTATATATATATATATATATATATATATATATATATATATATGCAGGGGAGTGGAGGTGCAGAGGTTAGAGAAGGTGGGCCTGTGATCGGAAGATCGCATGTTCAACTCCTGGTACCGACGACATCAAAATGTGGGTGGGAAGGGTCAAGCACCCACACCTGCCTCCACCCTCATTTGCCCCGCTCTGGGCCCTTGAGCAAAACTCTTAACCTCAACAATCTGCTCACCGGGTGCCCTTGATGGCAGCTCTCTGCTCCACACAGAGGGCTGTGGTAGCTCAGCGGTCTGTGGTTGTGTCAGGAAGGACATC